TGTCACAAATCAGAAGCAATGACACCTGACTCCTGCAATGGCACTCACAACTAGTCACTCAGAATTGAGCTGGTTCGAAGATTATGTAAAACCCATACTACATAAAAATAGCCCACCTGGTGAAAAACTGAACAGGCTGGGTTGTCGGTGGAAGATATGTGCAAAGCCTTGAATAATATCCCCCGTAAGCAGGCATCGGAAGGAGACGAACGCCCTCTTTGCTCGCATCTTCGGAAGCAGCAGCAAAGCGATCACCCATGGGAGAATCTCGCATCGGTGAAACAACTTCCACAACAGAATCCTATAATGGGACATCAGCAGATAATTTTGGGAAAAAATGGAAAGTGAAATTCCCCAATCCAACCTTTTTTGTTTCAGCGTCATCCTTCCACCGGTAATATGGAGGTATATCAGATCTTTCAAGAGTATGACGAGCGTTGTCCACAGAAGAGGACAACTGCTCCAGTAACAAAGCAGCAATACGATTTCCCACCACACCAGCTAATATGACGCTTACTCGTTTCGCCTACGATTGTAAGGATTTGAAAACAGCAATTGGAATGTAACTTGAAAAAAAAACGAAAAATCATGACTAACAACAGTATTACTTACATAAGGTAAAAGTGCCTCATGTGAGAGGACCGTCACTACGTAGAGATAGTTGAGAATCACTGGCAAATTTGCAGGATACGATAGAGCAAGTGCACGCCAAAGGTCAGCCAATTCGTGCTCATGGTCGGGAGCCAAACATATCGTCAGGTACATGAGATTGTTCAGAAGCAATTGGGTAGCTTCCTCAGATCCCCATCCACGAGGGCCTGAATCATTCGTCACTTCATAGTGCATGTAAGATTGTGAGATTGTCACCTGTTACTCTTGAAAATGTGCAGCCCTGGCCTTGTGAAGACTTTACACACTGTTGAATCTCACCTTCACATGCGTCTTCGCCAGCCATCGGATCAACGAGCTCGATGTTCTCCACCCACGCATGCAGTAGGGATATTAAATAGGTTCTATTCTGACTTCGTGCCCCTTCTAGACGACTTGAAACTTCTGAAAAAAAAGAAGTACGGTAACCTATAAAACTAGCGGTGACATAAATGAAGCGCATTTACAATCTCCTATATATAAAAACTGACACGTCGACGTCCGATTCCGTTTTTTGATACGGGTAGACTCTTATCTCACGTTTACGGACTCTTGAGGTTTCCTCAGTGGTTCCGACACGATGACTTGGGCACGGACGATTAGAGAACGGCACTTAGCGCAGCTGCTAACGGTGCCAAACGGGAGATACGTGAGCTAGGGGAGCGAGGGCAGTTCAAACGAAGGAGGAGAGCCACTTCCCATGTGACGATAAAGTTTGAAGTGCGAGGGTCAGCTATAGGTGGTAACCACCTTTAGGTGAAAGGCGCGGGGCGAGAGCAGCACACTGACTGATCAAAGACGGAGTTGAAGTAGCCCAAGACCTGATTAAAGGCCGTATGTATTCAAGGGCTTTTGGGCGGGTTAGGAGTAATATGTTTAAGAGTTGCACATGATATAAGCTTACCGCTGAATATAGTGATGGTAAGGTGTGGATAAGAGTTTGCGAGATTCCGGCACACTGCTTGCTGATCCATCGGCAAACAGTGAGTATGAGTGTCGGGAACAACTGTAGGTCTTAGTTGAACGTTTGGTGTGACGTTATTAGAAGCCGGTACTAATTGCGGCGATACCACCATGCTGCTGAAAACAAAAGTTTATTGAGTCGGAGAAGGAACGTTCCGAGAAAATCGTCTTACTTGTCGAGGAATTGCCTCTTGAGGATTTCGATCATGTGCACAGCAGCATCCGTTACAGCCGGGTCACCAAGCATTGCTTGACAAAGGACGAAAAGAGAAATGAATTCACACGGGAAATCACGCTTCGAGAAAACACGGACAAGAGCTCGAAAGCATCTTGCCGCCACAACACTCGGTTGTGAATAGCACTGCGACATCAGCCAGTCCAACAAATGACTGGATTCATTTAACTCCAACATCCAAGCTAGCATTTCTTCAACCTCTCCTTGCATCTGAAGTGAAAAACAGACTTGATTGTCGAGAATATAAATGGAGGGACATAAATGGCAGATGATCAAAAAGATGGTCAAAAGGCTTAGTGATCTCACCGTTGCGTTGGCACTCGACACAAGCTTTTCCAGCCAACCATAAAGGTAACCATCTTCACCAATGGATTTCTGTGTTTCGAATATTCGCCCACAACTCAGCAAACGAGTCATCGCCAAAGCTGCTTTTTGTTCCACATATGACCCAACCTAAACGATAAAGTTTCATAAGGCATTAATGGAGTTCTCAGTGTAAAAAAGATCTCTTTTAGACACGAAGCTTTTTGAATTTCCTAATCTGCAACAGACGCGGCAGCATTCAGGAGCCCAATTATTAAAGCATTCATGCCTTCACAAACTCCTTCTGAACAGAAGGAGTTAGCGAAATTAAGTATATTCTGTTCAAATTCATCATCACCTACATCATTTTCACGATTTTTCTTGTCGGCTGCGATTGTACGGCTGCACCATCCGATGAAAAGGTAGAACAGGCTCTGTTTCTTGTCGTCCGGAATCAGGTTACCTCTATTCTCAGGAGAAACATTGTCAATCAAAACTACAATCAGCTTCGAAAAATGAAGCCGCATCATTGTCACCACTGCAATGTCACGATCCTAAATGACTAAAATCAACAAAAACGCAACAAAAATGATCAAATGGAAGGAGCATACCAGGTCGCTCTCAAGATTGGCTCTCATGGCGTCTATGAAGTCCAAAATCAAAGGGCTCAAATTACCGTTGAGATCAATCAATGTGGAGTCCAGAAGCCCCCGAAATATTGCAATCTGAATCATTTAGTATATTCGCAAATTCAACAAACTACTGGCAAAGCGTCCATTAAAACACACAGACCTCAATGATGCGAATAATTTGGAGTCTCAGGAGATCCTTTCGTTTACGCCGTCGCACATTTGTCTCCATCTGGAACACTAATACATAAAAAAAGGAAGACACCACAAATAATGGAAACTACCTTTTTCTCCATCGCGTCCCTCAATATGCCTCGCTGATTGAGGTCTTCTAAGAATGTTTCAAACGCCACAGCATTCAGGGACCCAATTCCTAAAAGCATTTAAGCTTTCATAGCTTCCTTCTGAACGAAAGGCAAATGGTATGTCATTGAAATTGTGCGGGAAAGATCAAAACTGAAGCGCTCGCAACTCATCGACACAATGGTAAACTACACACTATAGGACCGGGAAATGTAAGTGCAACAGCAGAAATATATGAATTACGCAAAACCTCTAGATCCAGATCAAAATTACTATCGAAGTTAGCCTTCCATAAAACTAATATCCCACAATATGGAGGGGAAGATATTGAAGAGAGTTCAGCACAGCCTCGAAACTGATCGAAACCCTTTAAGCAAGAAACCGAGCACACGCTATCACGAAATATCGATCATATTTTCCCATCGTAGCATCGCTGCAGTTTTAGTAAACAATTGAGGAAGTGTTGCAGTAGATGAAATCCGGGAAGCCGTTCTCAATGATGTCGACACACTTCTCAGCACATCCGCTTCCATTCTAAAATTGTGCAATTTTTGTGCAATTTTGATCGCATTCGTGAAGAATGACAAAACAGTGAATAACTTACGACGAAGTAGGGCTGAAGCTTCTCGATATCAGACTATTGTGATTGTGTGGTGATGGTGCGAAGGCACAGCATAGCACCAAGTACTTCTGCCACAGTGAAAGGCATCCATCTTGACTGAGGGCCTCACCACATACCGAAGATCCTTTGCTCTTGCTACCACGGAGTAAAGAAGCTCGATTTTCATTTTGCGGATTGCTGAACATAACTAGCTTAAAAACATCAAGTGAAGCACACTCAGGCAACCAATATAAGTGAAAGTTGGATTCTTCAAGATTTTAGAAGTAAGAAACCAAAGATGGCAGTCACCTGATGCATGATGCATATCACTGCGAAGATTACTATTTCGAAAGCAACAGGTATAATTAACAAATTCTGAACTGTATGCAGCATTCATATAATCTCGTCAATGTGCCTGTAAAAGCGACTAGATGTGGAAAATTGCCTACCTTGGATCTACATAAGCGTTCACGGCCATCAATCTGCTGAAGAGTGTAGGCCAAGCATTAGCAACGGCCGAAGGACACCTAGCAAGAAGTCTTTTAAAAATATCCACTCGGTTTCCGATGGGTAAATATACCTCGAAATGAGATGTTTTCTCTCCGCATATCCGCTCAGCGCACAAGCCCATGGATCCCATTGCAGATATTCATTACCTTTATCGCTGTTCACCTTAACAACTTTTCATTCGACGTAAATTACACTCACAGATTGAATAAAGGTCTTCATGACTTACTAAGCACACGTCAGAGTCAATGGCAGCAACTTTGTCGCAAACTGAGGTGAAATCGAGATTCCAACTCGTCTGAAATATTTCGTAACCTTTTAGAAGCCAAATTAGCACTACAATAATCAACCCTTCACATAAGTGATAGTTCCAAAGCGGAAAATCGAATAAAATGAGAACGACTGACTCTTTCGTAGAGAGGAACATGCTCAATATATTTGCGAACAACGTATGGCGTAGCTTCATCAAGAACGTTTATAACGGGCGTGTCTGCGTTCTATAATGAGTGGCTTTTCTGACAAAAAAAAGTTTCGGGTTTCCTGGAAAACTCACATCGAGGGCCAAAATGGATATGATCTGTTTCACTT